CACTGTCTGGAAATCCCCTCTCCAGCAAGACCCCACAATGTGTTTTGGAGACATTTCTCCAAGCACATCAGCAACATGGCTGGACAAGATTATTCCTGCTCTGGAAAGGGGATAATTGAAGCTGAGTAGGGGGTCTCAGAGACTTCAGGTGAGGTGCAAGCCTCCTCCTGGGCTGTATCCAAGTCACCTTGGTGCTCCCTGAAGCCAAGGACTTGCTAAAATATGTAAAGATTGAGTAGTACAACACCACCTCTCAAAGTGCCACCAGACTCAGAGCAGCCAAGAACCAGAGCCCAGATTCCAACACAAGTGTCCTTCTTTGAGGTTATAACTGTTGGACCAAGCTGGCTTTGAGGTATAGAATTGTAGAATCACAGAATTGTTTGGGTTGGAAAGGACCCAAGCCCCTGTCATGGGCAGGGACACCTTCCACTAGACCAGGTTGCTCCAAGCCTCATCCAGCCTGGCCTTGGACACTTCCAGGGATGGGGCATCCACAGCTTCTCTGGGCAACCTGTATCCTACTCGCCTGGCCTAAATTCTTATGCTGGAGCAAGCACAGATCCCTAAATCCCATCAACAGGCTCACCTGGCCAGTTACACGTGGAGAAAGAGCACTGAATCTCCAATTACACCCCTTAGAGAGGACCTATCACTGTAGCAACTTATTTCCAAAATTTAACAATACCAATTATATAAACCTACTCACAGCAGGGAGCTTTCATCCAAACCACTGCTGTGGCGGCTGCCAGAAACATCATCAACCGAGCTGTAGTGGAAGGGAAACTCACCCAAGAGCTCAAAACTAAATAAATGTGTCTCTCATTGTGCCACTAAAGCTTTCCAAACCCCGGGCATCAATGGCTTGCCAAGGAGAGCCTATTCCAAAGGTGGGGTTTCTTCTCCTGGAAGCCCAACAGCTCCTCCCTGCAGAGCCGGTAGGAGCATGGATTTCCACCCACTTGGGCTGCTGACCAGGCAGCTTTTCCCCAGAACTGGAGTCCAGGCTGTGCATAAGGAACAAGAGAGAGGGACTGAGAGGAAGTCGAGACATCCCTCAGGTACTCAAGACAGCAATGGATGCCACGGTACGCGGTGGCTTCAGAGGTCCTCTTTGCCTGTGGACACCCAGAATGAGCATTTCCACCCCAGGAGCTCTTGCTGGAGGGCAGCTTGGGTGGCTTTTCAGGAAGGTCAAGAACTACGGCCTCCAAACCTCATGGGTGACCCTCAAACCTTGAAGGTCCTAGGGATCTCCTAGAACTACCAGGTCACAGTTTTGACCTGCTTGCTCCTGTCACACTCCACCTTCACACAGCGATCCTCACGGACATAGTACCAGCATGACACCCCAAAGCTGCCTCCCCACCATGTTTCCCTTCCAAGGACACAATCCACAGCAAAGTGACATGTGGACCTTGCTCTTAGCTCTCATCCTTAAGGAGAGGCTGCTGCATGGATTGGCTGGTTCCTTTTTCCTCAGTTCCAACACCACCAACACCCATTCCCCCAAGAAATGATAGTGCCTCATTTTTTTCTCTCAGTGGAGCACCTGTGTGCTGTGGTAGAGGAGGAGGAGGGATGTACCATGGCATGATGCCACACCACATTCTCTGTGGCTTTTTTGGAACAGTGACTGCTTTCAGTTTCTCCCTGCTTCAGTGGGGGAGGAATTGGATATGTCTTTGGGATGTGCCATGAATCCCCATGGCAGTTTCTTACAGTAAATTCTCAAGGTAGCTCACAGGGACTCCATCAACATCACACCCTCATTGTGCAAAGCACCACACCAACATTAAGAAGCCACCCCCATCCCAGATACTTCTCACCTAAATCAACACACTCTGTCTCAATGGGGAGCTGAGATTGGGAAAAATTAACAACCTGATTGTGTTTTCTTGATTAAAAAAATTATTTTCTTTCCACAAAGGAGCTGTAAGCCTGAAACAGCAATATTTTTACCCTGAGTGCCAGAAAAGGTGGTATCAGATCCCACGCGCCTGTTATGCACTGGGGACCAAATTTCTTTCAGACTGCGCGTCCCAGGGGACATGACAACCTCCGTGGCTGTAAGAGGTTCCACAGGAGACACAGTGGGAGCAGGGAGTCATGCTGGAGAAGGAACAGGTTGGAGACACCAAGTTTCCAAACAGCAGTTCCCAGGAGGTATTGCAATGACTTCTCTCCAGACCGAAATATTTCCATTTCAGTCAAAACATGTTGGGTGCTATTTTTGCCAAAAAATCAACTATTTGAAGAGGGAGAGGAGGGAAAGTATTTTCTAACTAAATATCTAAAATATTCTCTTTCTTCCACTTTTCCATTTTTCTATACCCAACACCAGTTCCCTCTGTATTTCTATCTTTTTCTTCCTTAGAGAAGCTGAGCTCTGACAAAGAGGTATCTTTGGTACCCTGTGAAGCAACAGTTATCTTGAAACATTTATACAGTTTCCTGAGCCTACTCCGTATTGCACAGTTATCGTTTTCATTTGTCCTTTGGTCTTTAAAAATGTATCAGATGATTCTTTTTTTTTTTTTTTAGTGCCTAGAAGTCACTATTCCCAAAATAACTGGTTGTAATCCTGGGCCACAGTTTAATGGAACGAAAGGCTTTGTGCACTGCTGGCACAAAATTACTGTAGTGTGCAGAAGTTTTGCTGCCCAAAAAAATTGTAGCAATGTAGGAAGGGAAAAAAAGTGCTAAAGTTTGACTTACACAGACAATATGGGAAATTGTCCACACAGCAAGCAAGAGCCTGGGCCAGAATGTGAGTTAGTTTTAGATGGGGGTGTTGATGGGCTACATTTTTTTTGCATTAAAAATTGTAAAATTAGAAGAAGAAAAAAAGTGATTGGGGAAAGAATTTACAAGGAAGGAAGCTGTCACTGGTCTATTTAAAGCCTGCTGGAGACTAATGATGAATATTCAGTTACCATGGCTGATGTATTACAATAGCAGAGGGGACGGGGAGGAAGAGGGCGGCACATTTTGCAAGGTGCTGCACAGTCTCTGCACCACGCGGTCCCAACTGAAGAGCCACCAGGAGAGAACAACACTTTGATTTTCAGTAAAGCTTGGGGGAAGAAATCAGGGATGAGGTCCAGGTCTATAACAAAGGCACTTGGTCCTGAAGTTTGGACTCAGCTCCTAACTCCCACCTGGCTAGATGTTTCCCAGACCTCAGGATTGGACACTGGCTCTGCATAATGGTTTCCTAATAGAACACGCATTCCTCTTTAGAATTCATCATATAACCCCACCCCAACGGATCAGGCCCTACAGGTGAATCCTTCCTGTGTTTCCCGAGCATCTTCACCCAGATCAGACCTCTGCCAGGTGGAGTTAGCAAACTGGGTCTCATTTTCTCTTATGACAGCTTCCCCCTCCTCCCGCCAAATGATGCCCTCACCATGACAGACTCCGGAGCTCCGTAAGATCACTACAAATTCGTACCTAGCAAAGAATTCAAAGGACTAAATTCAAGAAGGTTTTGTAATCCAGAGCTGGAAACTTTGTTGGCCTCAGCAAACTAATAAAAACTGTGAAAAAATTATAAGCATAGACCTTCACAGAGTGACATCCACTTTCTTGCTTATCACAAACCTGTAAGAGAGTAATAAATTTCAATGTATTTTCCTGTGCAGACTTAAGTTTCCTAATGTACCAGCCAATGCATAGTAAATGCAGCTGCCAGGCAGAAACCTTGTTAAAAATCTCTTTGAAGATCCACAGTTTATAACCAGGAAACCTCTGCATTGAAGCAGCCAATCCCTACTGTCCCTAAGCAAATGATTTTAGAAGATGCTTCTGATATTCCTGCAACAAAGCATTATGTACCGAGGCTTTCCAGAGCTGCTGTAGCTCATGGTCACAAGACTTCAAAAGACTGATTAAACGTCAGGTCCCAAGGATCATACTGATGCCTGTTTGAGGTCAAGATGAGGCATGATACAGAAGAGGATTTCCCTGTGGTTAGCTGCTGGCATGTTCTTACAGCATCCTTTGAAGCCCCTGACCTGGGCGCTGCCTAGATCTTGCTCACAATGGCAATTCCTAGTCTAAGACCTGACAAAAGGTTTATCCGTCCCCAAACACGGTGATGC